AAAAAATCGTTGTGATATGCATTTTTTAGTACTTTCTATAACTTCAGTCTAAATTGTCATTAGAATTTCCCACAAAATAAGAAAAATTCAATCTGATTTTGCTAATTTGTGAGCTACGACGCATTGTAAGAGTTTTCTTCATAACTATGGTTGATTTTGGTTTTTAATAATTTTGAAATACATAAATTTTCTAATTAACCGAACAATATAACGATATACCGTTATTAGCGGGTTTTTGATATTGGTACTGTGCATGTTGACGGTACGGGCTCGATGAGTCACCATTTCTAAACCCATTCTTTATCCGTACAAGTCTGTAAGTCACAGTGAAATGTAAGTAAAACATTAAAATGTGTATGTGTGGTTTTGCTGGGTTTGAACACTTTTTCGGTGGTTTTGTGAGCGTATAAAAAATATCATAAATAGAAACATAACTTTAAAATAATAGTTTGTTGTAAATTGTATGTTTAAATGACTTTAATATTGCAAAAAAAATAGATATTAACTAACTAAATATGTACATTTGGTGTAATACAATAGGATTTTAACATCTTAACCACTTCCCTGTCCGCGGAAAACACAATAGTTAAACAATCGAAATGTTCATATACCTACGATTCACGGGACAGGTAAATGGTTAATTAATTTTGTAGATTAACAAACAGAGTTAATGTTTATTAATGTGTTTGATAAGCATATTTATTCAATTTTATAAAGATGACATTATAAAGGTACATAAACATAGATACATAATAATAATAACAATAATAATAATAATCAGAACTGCCTATCAAAGTCCATTGTTGAACATACGAGTAGGCCTCTCCTTTGCTTGCTATATAATCAGGAAAATGCTGTTGGTTATGTTTCAGTTTCCCTTTGCAGGTTTGAAGGCAACCACAAAATGCTAGGCGGCATAACGACATTTATATAATATTCATATATATAACTAGCACACACTTATACAATATGTAACGTAATTAACGCACACCCTCAGATACCCCAATTAGTATATCATGTTATAATCATAATACATACACTGAATTTTTAGTTAAACATTTTTATGCACTGATTATTTACAAATTAGTTCCGTACTATTTATCAAAGTAATTCCGGAAGAATGTTGTGGTGACAGTACAAATCCACGAACGCAAAGACTTTATCGTGCTTGAAATAAAGTTCATTTTTCTTTATTTTTATTGAATGAACAGAATTATTAATAATACAAATAAAACTGCCCTCTTAAAAGTCTTATTGCCTTATGTTACGATCCATTTCAGTTTGTTTTGACTGTACAGATTTAATATGACTGTAATTTACGTAGTTTTGATTATTTTTGGGATAAAAAATTACCTATATTAAAAATTATAGGAATCGATTCAGTAAACGATTCTGAACAAACTACTTTATCAAAGTGCGTTAATTATGTTACGCGTTGTATATACAGCGTGTGTGCGTGGCACTAGTTACAATATATTTTTATCAATGCTAGGTTTTAAATCAAATATATTAATAATTTATATTTTATCAGGCCTCTCTCACCCCGCGCTTTAGGCATGAAAATATACCAACGCTGCGCGGTCCCCTACAAAGTACTAATTCAGTGAGGTTGTCACTCGCGCGGTTGATCTGACGCAAGCCTTACGTTGACAAAATATATTTTTCTGAGCTACTGCATAGCATACGGGTAATACGGATAACAATAAGAATATTAACTTTTCATTCTTTACTGTTCCTAAGGATACCGAAAGTTGAAATATTATTATTTATAGGTATATATCCAGATAATTAGGTACCTAGTTACTAGTTACATAGTTACAGATTTATTATTTGACTTGCGACCAGACTACAGCTTCGCAGTTTTCGATTTTTGGCGTATTATGTCAATGATCTTAAATAATTGATCAGTGTAAGTAAACCTCCCAGTACTAGTTACCGCCTACTAATGCAAAATCAGCATATACTGGTTACTGTTAAATACTTGGTCGATAAAAGAAAGAGATTGATAATAGTAGCACTTCCCATTGCCACTGTTTCATTAATTATGCCGTCGCGTGTCGCATGTTTGTAAATAGCAAAAAAGAAGGGAAACATAAAATAGAAGATAGGTAAATTATCTGAGTTTCAAAGACGTTCACGTTTTTGTAATCCTATTTTTTCTAAATGTTGCATAGTAGAGGAAAGGAAGGTAATTTGGAATACCATTTTATTTTAGAGCTGTTTTATTTTATAGGGTTGATGGAAATAAAACCTGCATTAAATTGAAGGAAAATTCATAAACTATCAAGCAGAAGTGCAAAAGTGCGGTGGTCTTGTTCTTCAAGAAAGGTGACAACGCCCTCTTGAAGAACTACAGACCGATAACCCTTCTGAGCCGCGTCTACGTGCTGTTTTCGAGAATCATTACGAATCGTCTCGCACGCAGACTCGACGACTTCCAGCCTCCCGAACAAGCCGGTTCCCGAAAAGGCCTTAGTAACATAGACCACATACATACCCTTCGGCTAATTGTACAGAAGTCCGAAGAGTACAATCTGCCACTTTGTCTGGCGTATGTGGACTATGAGAAAGCCTTTGATTCCGTCGAAATTTGGGCGGTGCTACAGTCTCTTCAGCGGTGCCAAGTTGACTGTCGGTATATCGAAGTGCTGAAGTGTTTGTACAGTAGGGCTACGATGGCTATCCGAGTACAGAACCAGAGTACGAAACCTATCCAACTGCAGAGAGGTGTAAGACAGGGTGACGTTATTACCCCGAAACTCTTCACCGCTGCATTGGAAGACGTTTTCAAGCTACTGGACTGGAAAGGATGCGGTATTAACATCAATGGCGAGTACATCATCACCTTCGATTTGCCGACGATATAGTCCTTATGGCAGAATCGCTGGAAGACTTAAGCACTATGCTCAATGACCTCAATAGTGCCTCCCAACCGATAGGTCTTAAGATGAACATGGACAAAACAAAGATCATGTTTAATGTCCGTCCCACCTATGCCGGTAGTTGTTGGGAGCACTATGCTCGAAGTTGTTGACGAGTACGTTTACCTGGGACAAATAGTCCGACTAGGTAAGTCCAACTTCGACCGAGAGGTCAATCGACGGATTCAACTCGGCTGGGCAGCGTTCGGGAAATTACGACACATCTTCTCGTCAGGTATACCTCAAAACCTGAAAACTAAGTTGTACAACCAGTGCGTGTTGCCAGTGATGACATATGGAACTGAGACGTGGTCCTTCACTGCTGGCCGTATGAGGACGCTCAAAGTCGCTCAGCGAGCTATGGAGAGGACTATGCTCGGAGTTTCTCTACGTGATAAACTTAGAAATGAGGATATCCGCAGTAGAACCAGAGTGACCGACATAGCCCAACGGATTAGTAAGCTGAAGTGGCAATGGGCCGGCCATATAGCTCGAAGAACCTACAACCGTTGGGTAAAAAAGGTTCTCGAGTGGCAGCCTCGTACCGGTATACGAAGTGTAGGGCGACCCCTCACTAGATGGAGTGACGACCTGGTAAGACATGCAGGAAGTCGATGGATGCAGGTGGCTCAGGACCGTGCTTTGTGGCATACCTTGGGGGAGGCCTATGTTCAGCAGTGGCCTTGTAAAGGGCTATAATGATGAATGATGATGATGATCAATCCGCGAGCTATTTAAAACAACTAATCATCTCTACTAGGTAATTTTAGGTTGAACGCAAAATGTCAGAATTTAGTATTCGACATGTGATGCAGGTATTTTGGAATAGGGGTATTATTCAAAAGTATATGCATTACTTAGTTATGTTGGATATTATTACGCCATGGTTTTAGAAGAAAATGTAAGACTTATAACGCAAATGATATCAAAAAGAGCAACTCTTTAAAATCGGTCCGTAACTTGACTGGAGGTTGTTTGGAATACCATTTTGATATTCCAAATTACCATCACATCGGGTATTCCAAATTATCAACAAGACGTGGTCGGATTCGGATATAATCTCGTGTCATTTATTTATAAATTAACAAACAAAAAATCAAAGTCAATGTATAAATATAATGTACAATGTATATATATAGGTCCATTTTATAGTATACATGAAGCTAAACCATCTAAACATAACAAATTATGGCGATGCAAATTGGTTAAATACGTACCTCAAAAATTTTCAAACACATTCCTTTATAATTTGGCATTTGATCAGCATCTTGGAAATTTGGCGGACTAACCGTGTAAACATATCGACAAATAGCGCCTATCTTTAATGTATAATGAAAAGAGATGGCACTACCAGTTCCTGTGAAATCCTCCTATTCCAAATTGCCAGCAGTATTCCAAATTAAGGTACTTTTCCTCTAACTTTTCTCACATTGAAGACTAATGTTCTTATTATCAGCAAATTACCAGAAAATTGCATAACACCTCTGTGTATTCTACTACCAACTAATATCAAACGATTCAATTTGTTTTCTCACAACACATAAAACCTTAAGTAGGTGTGGCCTTAACAAAGGCGCGTAACGGGCTAAGTGATACAGACACTACGGCACGCGGACGCAAGGTTCATTTTGATTTAATAATATTTTGCTATCAGAGAGCGATCCTTCTCTTCTTGAACTTGAAAAAATGAGTACAATGAATACCTCCCGAAAAGATGAAGAAAAATATATTTATAAATTTAAACATTTATTTACGTTAGTATCTTATACATAGGCCTACCAACATTGCATTCTAATTTAAAACTATTCCACAGACATGTGATAATTGTAAGATAAACTTAAGTTTTGTAAGATGGCATTAAGATACTATATCTTATAGAGGTGAAAGTTTATGTTATTGGAATCTATTTAATTGTGTGGAATGTCAGTTTTAAAATATATATCTGTTTAATGTAGAGTTATACTCTGTTACTTTATCTAAAGTTTAAATAAATGTTTGTTCAATAATTTAGTCCTTTATTTAAAAAATAAGAAAAACTATTCACAATAAAATATACAAAGTATATAGTCTAGTAGTAATTTACAACAGTTTTGGTTGCTGTTTTAAAGTTGTTATGTCCAAAAATCGTGGTATTTCAAACATAGGCTCTGGTTTCGATTTAGCGGTCAAACCTGGAAAATTAACAATTTGAATAAATTAAAATGAAATATCATGCAAACATTAATTAAATGTACACAATAGTTGGACACAGCCTAGAGAGGATTTGTCTTTGCCATTTTCAATTTGACAGTTCCGTGGCGCAGTGACTTACAATGAGTTGCGAGATTGAGGGCCGCAGGTTCGAATCTCGCAAGGAACAATTATTAAAATTTGTATGGCCTACTAATAATTCCTCCGTTTCTGGATATTTATCCTTATGGAATTTATGTTAACTGCCTGCATGATACAGGAAACCTTCCTAATTAGTGTGGGGGTATCATTTAAAAAAAAGGAAAAATAAAGAAAAAATGTACAGTAGGATATGCTGAACGTAAAAGTTAGGCAAAATGTTAAAACATTACAGATGCATGCCATGTGAAAATTTATATTGTTAAGAAAACGGACTGTTACAAAATGTTCCAGATTTGTTTAATTTGTGGCCGTGGAAGGAAAAGGGGAGATCTCTCGCCGGGCAAGGTGTTCTGCCCGGGGAGTGGCCAACACTCCATGTGATAGTTCGGATATGTTCTATATATACTGTTTATGATTCGGAATTTTGATAGCGTGATTTAGGCTTCGGTGAGTTCCGCTTGCGGCGCGACGAAAGCGCCGCCACATCACCCCCCTGCTCAGACCGGAGGTCGATAGTGCAGCCTCGTTGCCGACGAATGTGCAAGTGCCAGGAGATTGCCTTGTAGTCTGCGGTAAGTCGAGAAGAAGGCAAGTAATCTGCGAGAGTAGCTTGAAGGAACAGGAAGCATTATTATTCCAGTGCTGCGATGAACCTTGTGAAGCTAGATGGCTTTGCAGGATATGAAAGACTGTAGACGATATCTGCTCGGGAGCGAATGGGTGAGGTATTCTATGACGATGTTGAAGGTTGAAGTTTCCGAAGGTTGTTGGTTGCGTGTTCAGATCACGTCGGGTGGTCAGCACTGTGGCCGTGAAAGAAAAGGGGAGATTTCCCGCCGGGCAAGGTGTTCTACCCGGGGAGTGGCCAACACTCCATGTGATAGTTCGGAGATGTTCTATATATACCGTTTATGATTCGGAATTTCGATAGCGTGATTTAGGCTTCGGTGTGTTCCGCTTGCGGCGCGACGACAGCGCCGCAACAAATTAAAAATACTCCCTACTCTAAATGGTGTAATAAATGTACATAAATAACAACATAACATAATAATAAGTTCTATACCTTGTAACAATTGGTGCTTCTCCATATACTTCCTTGTCGCAAACGACATGTCTACAGGAGCAGCAGTAGAAGTAGGTTTTGGTGAAGCTCGGTGAGCTGCAAGTGACCCGTTTTTTAAATATTTAGCTGCAAGCTGATTCATTTTTAAACTTGTGTCTGTTGAAGCAGCCATAATATGTTGTGGTGTTGTACCAATATGTTGATCGCCAAATTTTACCCTGAAAAAAAAATAAACAGATTTTTCAATGGTTCGGTAGCGATTAAGCGTTTGGTTGCCGCACTGCGATCCGCAGGTCCCCAATTTCTGAGAGGGTTTTTGGGCAAGGAAGTGTCCGCCGCACAGCCCTAATACGTGTTAGCGAACTTCACATGTCTTCGAAATATATTTTCTTCTTATTTCTAAGACATGCAGGTTTCCTCAGGGTGGTTTCTTTCACCGCCGAGCACGTGGTAAATCAACACTTAAATATTCAATTAACAATTTCATTATTGCCAGCGGGGATCGAAATCGGTTTGCTCGCGTACTGTGAAATTTATAACGAACACTAACCATCTGAGCTACCAGTGCTTATCATCTTCCTGATAACAGATGAAATAATACAAAACTGCCAAACAGGTCAGTAAACATGGCAGCTATAGCTAATTCGAAATATAAGGCAATCTTTGGCGAAGGCCTACGTTCAGCAGCGGACTTATGATAGGCTGTCAGATCATCATCATATTTTGTTAGTTTTTAATAATTTAAAAAACGTTTAAAGACTAGTATTTTTCCAGTATCGTGAAGACAGTTTACAAACATAAATTGCACAAGGACAAACATCCAGACCAGGAAAAATTATTTATTACTATACAAATACTTGTTCAGTGCGGAATTCAAACCCGCGGCCCTGACACCGCACCTACACGTCAGTGCCACTGCATCTCACAGCCATAAAAATTCGACTGTATGTTTTTGTGTGTAAATTATGCAATATCTTAGTCAATTGTGAACCAATTTTAATTATTCCTTGTTTTATTAATAGGTTTTAGTTCAGGTTCAGGGGTTGCATATAATTTGGAGAATTTATATGGAAATAATTTCACTATGTAATGCAAATAAATCATGTCCAGCATTTTAGAAAATACATACATAAAGGTACATTCAACATCGTTATGACGCTGCATCGTAAGCTCTTTTACACTATTAAGAGATCAACGTAATCTTCTTCTTCATCATACTGTTACGCGCTCAAGTCGACGATACACTAGCGCCATCTAGTGTCAGGAACGAGAGCGAGGGGAGCATTGAGAAAATGACATCACAAATCACTCGACCGACAGCGCCACCCGAAGAACTAAGTTTCTGGAAAATCTACACTCGAATACTCGTTGCCTGGCGCGCATTTACTTGAATGTTCGGGACGCTTCTTTGCTAATTATATAAATAGGCGCTGCAAGATGCGATCGGGGCAGAGTTGAACTCGGCGACACAAGCGAAGCTTCGGAGCGGAATTAAGTGAATTAGTGTGTTTAATTATTAGTGTTTTTAGTTTTAATTTGTGTAAAGTAAATTAAAGTGTTAATTTAGGTAATTTTATCGGCAATTTTTATTGTCACGAACCTCAAGCTCGTAACAATTGGTGTCAGAAGTGGGATAAAATCATGCCGATTTTACCTAAGGAGGAAACGGAGGGTGTCCGTACCCGAAATCAACGCCAGCAGGAGACGGACCAAAGAAGATTTGGTGGTGCAACGCCGCAGACGTCGGAGGGCCAACCACCGGCTGCAGGCCCGTCAGTAGCTCCTACATCTGCAGCACCCGATTTAGGTGCTCTGATGGGGCTGCTGCAGGAACAGGCTCGCCGACAGGAGGAACAGGCCCGTCGACAGGAGGAACAGGCCCGTTGGTTGAAAGAGCAGCAGGAGGAACAGGCCCGCCGACAGGAAGAGCAGATGCTCCTCGTGAAGGACATTCACGCTAACTTCGGGAAAGAGATTAGGGAGGTGAAGGATAGGGTTGCTCAACATGACAACCGCCTGTCGGAAGCTGAAACCCAAATCAAGGAAGCTAAAACCCAAATCGACCAAGTAAACAATCGGGTTGATTACGTAATGGCTGACGTGAAGAAAACGCTGGACGACCTCAAACTGGGGGATGGAACTACAGCTCCCGTAGTAGCTACTACACCTTCGCTACGTGGGTTCAAGGTGCCACCATTCGACGGGACTTCTTCCTGGTCAGCCTACAAAATCCAGTTCGAGGCTGTTATGAAGGCGAACGGCTGGAATAAAAGTCAGGCCATGACTGCTCTCACACTAGGCCTGCGCGACCAGGCCTTAACAGTTCTGGAAGCTCTCGGTGAGGAAGTGACTTATGAGCAACTCCTTGAGGCATTGGAGGTGAGATATGGTGACGCTCACCTGGAACACGTCTTTCGTGCGCAGCTTAAAGATCGCGTGCAGCGCATCAACGAAAACCTGCAGCAGTGGGCTCTAGAGGTGGAGAAGCTGGTGCGAAAAGCATACCGGTCTGTACCTGCGCTCATTGAAGGGAACCTGGTGCAGACATTCATCGACGGCATCCGTGACCTGGAAGTCAGAGCTGCTGTGAGGCTCGGGCACCACGAGACGCTTAAGAACGCCTTGGCCCATGCACTGGAGGTGGAAGCCGTGCGGCAGGATCATCGTTCCCATCGCGTCAGGGAGGTTGCAGCAGCTACAGTCCGTGACCGCAGCAAAGGATACAGCCCTAGGTACTATGGCTGTGAGGAAAAGGGCCATCTTCGATCCAGCTGCCCTAAACTAACCGTGGAAAGGAGAGTTGATCGATCTCGAGAGGGTAGTACAGCTAACGGCACTGCCTGGCGGCGACAGGATCATCGTTCACCTCACGCTAGGGAGGTTACAGCAGTTACGGTTCGCGACCACAATAAAAGATACAGCCCTAGGTGCTATGGCTGTGGGGAAAGGGGCCATCTTCGGTCCAGCTGCCCTAAGCACACCCTAGGAAGGGAAGGTGAAAGGTCTCAGAAAAAAAATGCGGCTAACAGCACCGCCCAGCAGCAGCAGGAATACGACTTTACTATCAGACACTGCAGCGGGAAATCTCACGGCAACGCAGATGCATTGACAAGAAGACCTTGTCCTGAAGATTGCAACCATTGTAGTAGGCAAGAGAGTAAGGAAGTGGTATCCGTGAGGATGCTCAGGACAGACCACCTCAGCAACGGGTGGAAGGACAGCCTACGAGATGCACAGCAGGAAGATCCGGACATCAAGCCGATTCTGGGATGGATGAAGGCCCGTGCTACCAAGCCTAAGTGGAGGGACGTCTCAGCGATGAGTTCAACCACGAAAAGCTATTGGGCCCAATGGGACAGCTTGCTGATTCAGGATGGAGTCCTGTGCCGTAAATGGGACAATGGTCGAAGGGACAGCTGTCGTTTGCAAATGGTTGTCCCTAAAGCTAAAGTGCCGAATGTTCTACAGCTGTGCCATAATGGTCGTTCAAGAGTCCATCTGGGAGTTAAACGAACTCTACTGAAGGTCCGAGAGCAGTTTTACTGGGTCCATTATCGTGACGATGTCGAGGATTGGTGTCGTACATGTACAAGTTGTGCGGCCGTGCGGGGACCTCAGACACGTAGTAGAGGAGCACCGAAATTGTACAATGTTGGTGCACCACGGGATAGAACAGCCCTTGACATTGCGGAGCCGTTACAGAAAGGCGCAAGAGGGACTCCTAAGATCGTCCATGTGGATCGCTTGGCGCGTTATTATGGGGCCGATAATGCTCGGGACGAGCATGTCTTAGGAGGGGGCAGTGTTACGCGCTCAAGTCGACGATACACTAGCGCCATCTAGTGTCAGGAACGAGAGCGAGGGGAGCATTGAGAAAATGACATCACAAATCACTCGACCGACAGCGCCACCCGAAGAACTAAGTTTCTGGAAAATCTACACTCGAATACTCGTTGCCTGGCGCGCATTTACTTGAATGTTCGGGACGCTTCTTTGCTAATTATATAAATAGGCGCTGCAAGATGCGATCGGGGCAGAGTTGAACTCGGCGACACAAGCGAAGCTTCGGAGCGGAATTAAGTGAGTGTATTTAATTATTAGTGTTTTTAGTTTTAATTTGTGTAAAGTAAATTAAAGTGTTAATTTAGGTAATTTTATCGGCAATTTTTATTGTCACGAACCTCAAGCTCGTAACAATACCATAAAAGTACAACAAATTTTAACTATCATAATATATTCTGCATTACATACAATATGGTATAACTTTCGCTATAATAATAAATAAATAATTTGAATGACGTATTTAAGCAACTGTAACTCACCTCTTAATTACACTAACATTAGTTTTGTCAATTTTCATTTGCATACACTTCTGCCGAGTGTTCCTATACAGAGCACTCGCTGAAGAAGGCATATCTGAATCATGCAGCATGCCATTTACGTGGGTCTGAAAATTATTAATAATCATTACATTTTTTAGCACCAAATTAGTAATTTAGTCTAGAATTAATATATTATATTTATAAGAAATCCTGGCATACAATATTAAGATAACTGCAGGTTCGCTCTTTTTTTTGTTTAAGCCCATAGCCCACAGGCATAACCCATAGCACACTTAAACTCACATTGAAATCACTAATTGTTTAGGTATTTAGTATAGACACAGACAATAATACAAACCATTATTTGTTTAATTCAAGTAAACATGACTTTAATTTTTTTTATTTCATTCACAAATTCTGGAGCTCTTAAATAGATAAGTTATTAAATATATTGAAACAGACTAACAATAGATTTATTTTACATATTATGTTGTAGATACTAAGAAACACACATTATTGTCAACTATATTTCTTGGCTAAATTTCACAGCCACCATTATATTTGAATAATAATAATAAAGAAAGTTTGAATCTTGTAATAATATTTCATTAATTAGCTACCAACATAAAATATGTACACTCTAAACTCATTATATTTACAATTTTAATACAATAACTAGGTGCTAAGTACGCACCTAGTTATTGTATTATATACTTACCATAACTTTATTGTAGTAAGTCCATCCAACATTGGACTGGTCTTCATACTCAGAATCTGAGCTGTAAAATGAATATATTTTTTATGTATAAAAATCAATACATCAAATTCCAAATTCATAAAATTTATTTGTGGTGGAGCAGTGCTGCAGTTATATAGTAGTAATAGTTAGTAGCACGAATGGGTTGTCTTGACCGGGGAAGGACCACACTCTCACAGAATACCAGTGTAAAAAAGCAGCTTAATGCTGCTGTGTTCCATATGGTGAGTGTAGAGAACTGGAGACCCTTTTTCTGGAAACGAGGCATTCCATCTTAGTCCTCACGAGTGACAATGCATTTGTATTTTGATTCATAATCAAGGATAGATGTAGATGTCTATGGGCCACAGCAACCACTTACCATCAGGTAGACTGTGTGCTCGTTTGTCACCCTATCCTATAAAAAAATTAATATCAATCAAAAATCAATTCAAAAAGATCAGCCAGCTATGTATTTTTGCAACAAATGATATATAATCGATCAATCTGACTGAAATTGAAAGATATTCATGTTGACAATGAGAAATCATCATAAAATTATGCTAAACATATTCTATAGACTGGGAATGAGGAACAATGTACAAGTTACAAAATCATAGTACACCAGTGTGTGCAAGGACAGGTTTGTCCTCTATCCATTCCTTTGCATAGTCCCTACGGTGAGATACGAATATACAGAAATCAAGTATGGTACTAACATGCTAGAATACATATAAAAATGTATGGGAATAATCCAGGCGGTATCAGCATTTGCAGCTAGGAGTATAAGAAATAATTCAATCCGCATACTATCCGATAGCTTTATGGTACTACAGTCTCTAAACAGGCAGCTCTAGGAGCAATGATGCGACTGATGAGCCTAAACTCATAGTTGGACACCCCTTCAGATACATAAGGACAGCAGTACTAAAACATACCACGCCTCAACATACACAGTTCTGCATTTACCACCAAGCTATGCATACAATTAAACTAAATTTCCCAAAAAGTTAACCAGTCTGAACAATTACCAAACTAGACTGGCCACTAGTGCCATAAAAGGATGTGGCTATTCTATACAAGCAACTCTTTACTTTAAGTGTTATGGTTAGAGCTTTTGTGCAAAGTCTGCATGGAACAAGAGGAGATGGCAGGCCATATTCCACTTGAATGTCCAGAGGTTATCACCTACAGAGCTAAGTACCACTAAATGGCAAGGTTCCTCCTTGAGTAGTTCAGGTGGCTCGTATAACATTATTTTCCTGTCGGCACACAAATTACACATTTAGATGGGGAGATGGTAAACCTCTAAATGTGTAATTTTTATAAAGATCAGTTAGTATTAGTTCTAGTAGCAATGGAACAAAATGGCTACCACGGGTGAATACGGATATCATAATACTTTTTTAAAATCCTAATTAATTAATTATATTATAACACCCGTACAATTGTAAAGCAAAATCCACAATGAAAACCCGGTAAACATTTAAATTATAAGAGTAATTCATCATCATACATTTAATTGCAAAGAATTTATGCCAGGTTGCAATATAATTACAAACCATCATGAATCTTCTGCAAAGTACATATCTCTTCCAAGTGAAGTATTTACTGCAATTGCGACACTTAGCAGGTGATGAAACCACAGTATCAAACCTTGTTTCTCAACAGTTATCTATGTAAGGCCTGACTTGAATGATACACTTTTTTCTCATACAGTCTGTGATAATTCGAATCTCTCTATAATTCAAAGTTATCACAAGTTCCCTACAAAATCTCTTTATATTACGAACTAAATCAATACATTTTTTTGCACTTGGTAATTCAAACGAAAAAATCATTGCTACGTAGCAAACCGACGCGTTAATTCGAACTCATCGGCGTCAAACACTCGATTATTCAAAGTTGCAGAGAGAAAGGACAGAGACATATTGTAAGTACATTTTTAGACAAGTTCAAACTTTTTTTTGCTATGTAAGCCTTTGTTTTGTTATGATAGTTTGACACACACTTCCTCAGGAATTGGTTTGTTTAGTTAGTTATGTTTCAGTTACAGTTAGAACCAAACCAACGAAAGAGTAACAGCTCTTTCGTTGGTTTGGTTGTATACAGATTAAAACTTTACATTAGTTATGAGGCCTAAAAAGTATAAATGCTTGAGGATTGCTGAAAAGAAGAAGTTAATCGAAAAAGTAGAGGGAGGTGAGAAGAAAAGTGATGTAATTTTTATATATCAATGTGTTGTAAAAGATTTTTTTTATAGAAGAGGGGGCAAACGAGCATGCGGCTCACATGACGTTAAGTGACTACCGCCGCCCATGATCAACCGCAACAGCAGGGGAATTGCAGGTGCGTTGCCGGCCCTTTAGAAAGGAGTAAGTTTTTTTGAAGGTCCCCAGGTCGTATCGATCCAGAAAAATCGCCGGTGGTAAACTTTTCCACAGAGAGGTTGTACGCGGAAGAAAACTCCTTTTGAAACGTACAGTGGTGAACTGCCAAGCATCCAGATGGTGTGGATGGTATCGGAACGTTTGCCGCGTAGTGCGTTCCCGAAATTTGGCGGCTGGGATTAATCCGAACAATTCCTCAGAGCACTCCCCATGGTTTAAAGTAGAAAGAGAATATGGCTACCCTACTCGTCAATCCACTAGAAAAGGAAAATATGTAGTACCTAAAATTAAAAATTACTTCGGTATGCGCACGAGACGATGGGTTATCCCGCAATTATATAACGAGCTGCCGCCGGACTTGCTTAGTAAAGTTATCTCAAAAAATCATTTAAAAAATATCCTAAGAAAACATTATCTATCATTGTGTCCATAAAGGTACGCCACAGGCCACGAGTAACGTACTGTTAAAATTAGCAGTCTATATGCGATGTGTGCTGTTTGAGTATGTGTTGAATTAGTGTATATGTATGTGTATATACAGTATGTATATAAAAAAAAATAATGAACCAATTTTGATATTTGGCTGATGTGGACCTCATAACAAACTTTGTACTAAATATGTACAGATAAAATAATGAAATAGATTTTGGGAGATATTAGTATATGTATAAGAAATTATACTTCAGATTATATGTATAAACATAAGCATGTAAGACGAGAACTACTGCCGACAAACTGTAATGCAGTTTGGCAGATAAAAATGTTAAAAACGTTTATTGTATAATTGGAAGAAAATAAATTTAAAAAAAAAACATTCGAAAGAAAATGCAAAGAGATGCAACATCTCTTCGCAGCGCCAGTGAATCGAGCCGATCGGAAAGCACTCGGTCGTCAATGATTCGAGCCGCTCTGCGCTGGATGCGGTCAAGTGGGAGGAGCTGGTACTACTGGGGAGTCCCAGCCCAGAGATGGGAACAGTATTCCATGTGCGGCCGAACCTGCGCCTTGTAAAGTTGCAGGCGGTGTGCCGGCATGAAAAACTGTCCCGCTCTGCTGAGCACGCCAAGCTTTTTAGAGGCCAATTTGGCCTTCTCTTCCAAGTGACCACGAAACTGCACGTCACTCGATATGTCGACGCCGAGGATTCCGATAATGGCTGAGGCAACAAAGGTAGTGCTTTGAAACTGAGGAGATACGACAAAGGGGTTTTTTTTAGCGGTGAACGCGCAAACTAGTGTCTTCTGGAGGTTAAACTGGACTAAATTTAGTCGACCCCAATCCGAGACTGTTCAGCAAAGACTCGACTTCAGACACAAGTTTGTCCCGGTACTCGGAGACGTTTTCCCGAGAAATATTGGCACGGCCGGTGTAAAGAGCATCACGAGTGCCATCATCTGCATAGAAATGAATGTTACGGGTTTGCAACGTATCATTGATATGCAGAAGAAACAGCGTTAGCATTAATAGGCTTGTAATCGGAGCTCGCACCGTCTACAACGATCTTGATGCTCCGATCTGCAAGAAAGCTAGTGATCCAATCGCACAATTTCTCGGGAAGCCCATAGGAAGGGAGCTTCGAAAGAAGCGCTTTGTGCCAAACCCGATCGAAGGCCTTCGCAATGTCCAAACTAACGGCCAATGCCTCCCCATTGGACTCTACTGCCTCCGCCCATCTGTGAGTTAGGTAGACCAGAAGATCACCAGCTGACCGACCACGGCGAAAACCGTATTGGCGGTCACTAATCAGCTGGTGATCCTCAAGGTACCTCATGAGCTGGCAGTTAACAATAGACTCCATTGTTTTGGAGAACAAGGAGGTGATGGCGATAGGCCGGTAGTTGGACGGGTCTGAGCGGTCGCCTTTTTAGGGATCGGGTGGACGAAAGCCGTCTTCCATGATTTTGAGACTACGCCTAGGGAGTAGGAGTACCGGAAAAGGGGCGTTAAAACCGGTGCCAACTCTGGAGCACACGTCCTCAGCACAATTGGGGGGATTCCGTCAGGCCCACTCGACTTGTGGATGTCCAGGATGAGGAGTGCTTTGCGAACCGAGCGCCGTGTGAACTGCACTTCCGGCATGGAGCACTCACACCGCGGGATGGCCTTTCTCATCGATTCTCGATGACCCCCGTCATCGAGAGTCGAGTTGGACGCAAAGAAAGAGCTTAGCAGTTCGGCTTTCTCCTTTGCGGTATGGGCCAGTGAGTCGTCCTCCCTGTGCAGAGATGGAAGAGATGGCTGACAGAAATTCCCCTGGACAGCCTTGGCGAGAGAAGTTCCAGAATGCGGTTCTTTCCTATGTGCTCCGACTTTGCCTTGGCAATGACTCTTTTGAAGGACCTAGAGGTGGTATTATACTTCTTTTTTAGAGTGTTGGTGTTTACATCCTGGGACGTTGATGCGTCAACCCAGGCTTGGTAGCACTCCTGCTTATAGCATGATGCTATTTTACAGGAGCAACCAAACCATGGCCGAGATTTGCACAGAGGAAGGAATAAAAAGTTCCATACCCTGAAGTACCACATCAGCGACAGAATTCGCAACAATGTTGGGATCGTCCGGCGAGAAGCAAACCCGCCCCCAAGGGTAGGATGCAAAAAAAGACCGCATCCCATCCCAATTGGCTGACCTATAGTACCAAACACGGCGGCAGCCTGCAGAATGCAACTGCGATTTCAGCGTGAGTGGCACCACACTCCGGACAAGACAATGGTCCGAGGAGCCTAAAGGGGCGTCGACGGAAATCTGATATCCGTCCGGGTGAGAGGTCAGTAGAAGGCCCAACAAGGAAGGTGCATGATCCTCCACATCTAGAATCCACGTAGGCGAAGTAAACAGTTGTGTCAGACCATAATATGCCAAGGCAAATACATGAACAGATCTCCCCGCATGATCGGTTAAACGTGAACCAAGCCATTCGGCGTAATGGGAGTTAAAGTAGCCAAGGATCACGATCTCTGCGGAGGGGATCTACTGTAGCAACGAATCTGTAGCCATTTGGACATGGTCGAAAAGACAGTCTGTTTCAGCATTACCACTATGGGACCTATAGAGGCACCTGTAGACGCGCGGATGGTCGTCGCTGTCTACGCGTAGCCAAAGGATGGACATGGTCCACATGGTTCAAGACTGTTGAGGCGTCTAGAACAGATGTCCTCTCTGTCGTAAACGCAAACTCCAGCCCGAGGCACAAAGGAGTGTTCCAGTTTGTACCCCGGGTAGGAGAGATACGAGACATCAGCTGAAGAGGACACCTGCGTCTCGGTCAGAAAGAGCAGAGCTGGCCTCGCCATCTCTAGATGGTAGTGGATGGCGTTTAGGTTAGAATGAAGTCCCCTGATAAAGCAGAAATTCACGGATAGCATGGCAGGGGTCGACTTGGTATTGTTGCCCCGTTTGCCCCAAGCAGTTGTAGTCTTAGGGAAATTTTGCCCCCCCCCCCCCCAGAATATGCATGGCAGCCTGAGCACCCACGCTCAGGAGTGGAGAAACATGGTTGTGGATGCTCAGTGAGGGATTCTCCAGGGGTGCTGGTACCCTCCTGGGGTAGTCTATCATTTTTTCGCTGCCTTCTTTGTTCCTTGTGTGTTTCATTTAATTCCGCTACCATGTTGATGGGTGGGGAGATTTGGGCCTCTGGCCACCTGCACTCACCAGACAAAACTCGGAAGCAGAGCTTCCACATCAGGCCAGTATTCTGTGAGGTCGTGGTACCACCCCGGTTTGGGCCGGCCCATACATGCAACAGCAAAGCTGCCGCTTGGCTCTACCACTGTTGAATAATAATTTAAGATTCCTCTGAGTACTCTCTCAACCATAATAAAGCACAAGGAGAAAATTTATGCTGCTCAAACTGCTGGAGTATGGAAAAGAACTATTAAAGGTGAATTTCCACGTCTGGAAGAAAGCCTGGTCATTTGGCTAAGACAGTACAGAGGACAAAAAGTATCTGGAAACTTGTTAAAGGAAAAAGCAAAAGAATTCGCATCTACCTAAGCATTAAAAACTTTGCCCCAACTTTGACAGTGTGTGTCGTCCATAAGAGTAAGAGTGCGGTAATTACCTAGACAGATTCCTAAGCAAGAAATGATGCAAATGTTCCTTTAGTATTTCTCAATAAAAAAAAATTAAAAAACAACTGAGTTACCTACTCGCTATAATCTCTTACATCTAAATACATGCTCTGCTCTGGTGACATGAGAGGAGTTGTTGCATTGTCAACTTGTACATTGTATAGGCTCTGTTCATTGAATGTTTTATCTTCATATGCATTTTCTTTCTGCCAATTCTCAATGACTTGTGGTAAAATATTATTTTCATTAACAGAGCTGTTTCTATTTACTTCAATACTATTATTCTTTGCAGGTGTGATACCATCCAAGAAATTTGAATTTACAGGCTGCAAAACTTCCCTTATGCTTATTTGTGACCTATTACATTGTATTTGGGCTTCATTACATTGCTTCATAATTTCTTTATTGATTATAGTAGAAGTGCGGACCATTTCGAAACTTGTCATGACTCCAATTGATATTTTATGATCCTCCTTATCTACAGTATCCACAGCGACATGTTGTGTTAATGAATGTTTCTGCATTTCTAATTTACCACCTGAAATAAACTTATCAACTTTTTCCTGCAATAGCTGTAACTGTTCATTTTGCAGTTTAATTATTTTAAATAAATCAGATACTGTAGGTTCTCTCTTTTCTTTTGTATTTCCTTGCTTTTCAATATCCAAGGTATCTGAACCTTTTGATTGTTCATATTTTTCTAATGCCCAATTCTTTTTATCCACTGTGTTTTTGTAATTGACCGACATATGATCTGCGTCACATAAGCATTTGTTGTAAATACTTTTACAAATGGGAACATAACACTCACAATGATTACAGTTATTAGATAAATGTTGGGATAAGCAAGTATGATTACGGTATACTGGCATAACATTAGGTTTAGAAGAGATTTTTTCTGTATCAGCACTTTTCACATTACAAGACATACTATTTACTGTACCCCTGAGACAGTGATGGCACATACAATAATTACTTACAGTAGAATCTAAGCATTTTCCAACATTTACATCGTCTGATGATGTTAGTAAAGGTTTAGGGATACCCAATTTCATTAACTCTGTTTTGGCAACTAATGGGTTGTTTTCCTTATCTAGAGATATATCTTTAAATTGATTACTCAAAGATGGAACTGACTGCTCAGATATTTTATGTATATTCTGACGTTGTAAAAAGAAATCATGTTTACTTAAAACATTTGGAGGATTTGGACTTATATTTTCTAATGACGATAGCACTCGTGAATTTGTCTTTGCATCATAACAATTAATGCGGCTTTCTTCTTTAGTAGTTTTCAATCCTTTAGGTTGATCTGATTCGGAGTAGCCAATATTTTTAGACATTTGCTTACATGAATCCAAAAGACTTATCTCTAGTTCATTAGAAGGTAACCACTTTGATTCCTCAAGTTCTAAACATGTCTTGTTTATAATGGGATAAGGTGAACCATTCGCACATTCATATTTTTGCAAAGGATCATTGCTAAATTGTAATACCTTAGTATTATCACATTTAATGACCGGTGGAGTAGTTATCAGCTTTTTATCGATGAAAGGTCTTGGAGATTGACAATCGAAATCATTCATCGTCACTTGCTGTAGAGATCTTGTTGGAGTTTCAAAGCGTACTCTCTTCATTGAGCAGTTATTTCAAAATTTTACTTAGAAAGACAAAATTATATTTACATATTATTTCTGGTCCTTTTTCAAACTTAAAATAATTCTCTCTATTCCCTGATTAACTTATAATCTCAATTAAATTTTGTATCAAAAACTTGTACTTGTTAATTGTTAACTTGTATTTATTTAAAATCAAATTATCAAATCAAGGGTATGTTCCGAAATACAACGCAGTGTACTGTCCAATGCAAATGACGTCATGAATCGACGCTATACTGGTGATTCGTTCCAAAACATTGGAAAGTATATGACGTCATACTTTTGCGCCATTTGGAAAAGTGTTGGCGATTATTTTGTCATTTTGTGCTCTAAAAATCATTATATCCTCCTAATGGATATATCATCAATTATTATATAATTTTTTGTATTTGAATAAATAGAAACAAATTCTGGCATGCTTTATTCGGCAAACACACAATTAAAAATTGTTTTATTATGGCCGGATATCCGACACAATATGGCAGCGGCACGCTAGTACAATAAAGTGTCAAACTGTCAAATGATGACGTCATTTGCATTGGACAGTACACTGCGTTGTATTTCGGAACATACCCCAAATCGAATCACATACCATGCACATACCCATACTAATTGTTTTTATTAAACTGGCTTTACGGCTCTGGCTTCTAGCCCTTCTGAGCCTATAATTTCTTTCGGAATCTTCATTTTATAAATTATTTTTCTTTACAAAATGCTGATGCGTCACATTGCGAAACCCTTGAGAGATTTTGTCGACAGCTCAACCTAGCAGACAGTTAATGACGACAGCCATTCAAGTTCATAAGGCGCCCAAGCGATCAAAATAACTTGAGGTTTATATCGACATCAAAGCACTTGTTTCGTTGTTTTCTCTAATACTTCGCAGACTAATAATAATACGCGGACACTTTATTCACAAAATCGCATAACTTTTACGAATCAAAATCCACTTCAAATCATTATTCAAGTGACAAAAAAGGAGCGACAATCCGTCTACGGCCAAGTTTCCGCCAAAACTCCACATACTAATACCCCTATTACACCACCCTGAATCAGGGCCCTGAATGAAGGGTGGGCGTGGTCCCTGGATATTACACTACCCTGATCATGAAGGTTAGAGAACAGGAGAACGATTACTACGTACTAAAGCGTAGCCCGCCTGACCTTGAAAATTGTAGAATACATAAGGGCTCATTTTTGACAAAAAGAAACATTAAAAAAATGGAGATATATTTTATTGTGCGTGGATGTGCAAGTGAAAATGACTTTTATTGACCGAACTTAGTGATCGCTGCGCCTCACTGACGGTGTCCATATTTCTGGGACACTATTTTCTACGGCGATTGTACTCCTGTTCTCTAACCTTCATGACCCTGATTTTACACCCTTACTCAGTCATAGGGATGGACAAATGAAAAAAGTATATATTATATTTGTTGAATCGATATATTTAAAGTAATTGTAACAAATAATTTATTGTGTATACGTAACTCGAATTTAGTTCGAGTTGTGTAAATTTGAATTTGAGATAACTCGAGTCATAATTTTTCCAAGTAAGTACATCTATAGGATGCAAAATCGCTCATTAAAAACATCGAAGCTTATGTACGATATATCGATATTTTATTTGATAGATGTATATTTATATTGAATTTTTTTATAAAACATACATATGGACTAAATGATCATCTTGAACAGAAATTGAAATAAAAAATTATAATAATCAAACATTATATTTATGTTATTTTAGGAATTTATACACTATTTATTTTTACGCGTTTAATTTAATCGAATAATTATCAGAAAACAAGAAATAATTAAATATTTTTTTTACTTTTACGTTTATTTCTTTGGAATTGAATTTTAAAATAACAATTTTGACAACCTGGTGCCTAATAAGTGGTTACTCTCCTGAGTGATTGTAGATCCAGCCTCTGAAAATAACCGCTTACTGGATACCGAAGTTACCACGATAGGCAGATAGATCTTATCGAGGTTATGAAGCCCGGAAAATAACCCTTTCATGATATGCCACATGTAATATATGAAACTGTCTTCTGCATTAGTTTTATTTCTTATGATGTGGTGCATTAATTTTTTATGGTAGTTCCGTATGTTGACCTTCAGTATTATCGCATTTTCTGAATAACTACATCTACGAAACTATACCAAAATACAAACAGGTGACATAAAATTCGTGATAATTATCGTTCGCAGCAGTGAAGGACCACGTCTCTGATCCGTAAGTCATCACTGGCAACACGCACTGGTTGTACACTTTAGTTTTCAGAGATTGAGGTATACCTGACGAGAAGATATGTCGTAATTTCCCGAACGCTGCCCAGCCGAGTTGAATCCGTCGATTGACCTCTCGGTCGAAGTTGGACTTACCTAGTCGGAATATTTGTCCCAGGTAAACGTACTCGTCAACAACTTCGAGCATAGTGCTCCCAACAACTACCGGCATAGGTGTGACATGGACATTAAACATAATCTTTGTTTTGTCCATGTTCATCTTAAGACCTATCCGTTGGGAGGCACTATTGAGGTCATTGAGCATAGTGCTTAAGTCCTCCAGCGATTCTGCCATAAGGACTATATCGTCGGCAAATCGAAGGTGAGTGATGTACTCACCATTGATGTTAATACCGTATCCTTTCCAGTCCAGTAGCTTGAAAACGTCTTCCAAAGCAGCGGTGAAGAGTTTCGGGGATATAACGTCACCCTGTCTTACACCTCTCTGCAGTTGGATAGGTTTCGAGCTCTGGTTCTGTACTCGGATAGCCATCGTAGTCCTACTGTACAAACACTTCAGCACTTCGATATACCGACAGTCAACTTGGCACCGCTGAAGGGACTGCAGCACCGCCCAAATTTCGACGGAATCAAAGGCTTTCTCATAGTCCACATATACCAGGCAAAGTGGCAAATTGTACTCTTCAGTCTTCTGTACAATCTGCAGCAAGGTATATATGTGGTCTATGGTACTGAAGCCTTTTCGGAAACCAGCTTGTTCGGGAGGCTGGAAGTCGTCGAGTCTGCGTGCGAGACGATTCGTAATGACTCTCGAAAACAGCACGTAGACGCGGCTCAGAAGGGAAATCGGTCTGTAGTTCTTCAAGAGAGCGTTGTCGCCTTTCTTAAAGAACAAGACCACCGCACTTCTGCTCCACGCCTCTGGAGTAGTGCCACCATGGAGGACGGAATTGAAGAGCTTCTGAAGGACTTCAAGTACCGGTGTTCCACCCGCTTTCAGAAGCTCCGCTGTAATTCCATCCTCGCCTGGGGCTCTGCCGTTTTTAAGGTGCTGGAGAGCCATTCTAATCTCGCTTAGACTGACGTCCGGGATATCATCGGAATAGTGTCGGATAAGACTTGCTCTTGGATCGTTACTCACACTTGCGTGTGGCTCCAACGATGATGTGTACAGCTGCCCATAGAACCTCTTAATCTCACTCAAAATCTCAGGTGTCCCGGAAACGATGCTGCCACACTCAGTCTTCAGCCTTGACAGTTGGCTCTTTCTGGCAGACAGATCTTTAGCAAAGACTTTGGAGCCCTGGTTCCGCTCGATCGCTTCTTTAATACGAGCAGTATTAAAGTTGCGTAAGTCTCGCCGCATGCATTTGGAGATCTGTCTGTTCAGTTGCCTGTATGCTGTCAAATCTATTGACGATTGCAGCCTCATCTCCCGTCTAACAGCCATGAGATTAAGAGTGTGATCGGAGAGTTTTTGTGTTCTTCTGCAGCGGGTCTTGCAGAACTTAGCTCCGACCGCATGGACAGTTTCCACGAGCTTGTCATTCATATCGTCCACTGCATTGCAATCTTGTAGGCACTGAAAGCGGTTGTGTAACTCGAGCTGAAAGTTTTCGGGATTTTGGATCAGAGCACGAGGGGGGACGGAGCGTTGACTTCATTAGACGAGACCTCTCCAACTTAACGTTTAGGTTCAGTGTGCCTCTAACCATTCGGTGATCACTGCCAGTTTTCACCCTTGCGATCACTGAGACATCACTGAACAGTTGGCGTCTGGTCGTCATAATGAAGTCAATCTCATTTTTTGTCGAACCGTCGGGGCTCGACCAGGTCCACTTCCTGTGGGGCCGCTTCTGGAAGAAAGAGTTCATCATAAAGAATCCCTCTTTCTCCATAAAGTCGGCCAGCGGATTAGTAAGCTGAAGTGGCAATGGGCCGGCCATATAGCTCGAAGAACCGATAACCGATGGGGAAGAAAGGTTCTCGAGTGGCAGCCTCGTACCGGTAGGCGTAGTGTAGGGCGACCCCCACTAGATGGAGTGACGACCTGGTAAGATATGCAGGAAGTCGATGGATGCAGGTGGCTCAGGACCGTGCTTTGTGGCATTACTTGGGGGAGGCCTATGTTCAGCAGTGGACTTGTGAAGGGCTGTGATGATGATGATGATGATGATCGTTCGCAACTTTTAACATACGGAATTTTATACCTTCGTATAGTTGGTTATTTCGTAACCTTTGACGGCAAAACATAGATCATGAAGAAGCATGTTTATGAACGATATATCGATGTTTAAAAGAATTGATGTATCGTTTGCATCCCTAGTCGCGCATCAAATAAGTGCCTTAACTTAGAAAAGAATAAGTGCCTTAACTTTAAACTCCCTTAGTGTTATTACAATGTACGGTGAAAGGGCACTGCAGACCGGGTCCACTTTGACGCCCTAATTAGGGACCCTTACTCCCTTTCTCTAATTACACCACCCTGAATCAGGGCGTAGGTACCATGATTCAGGGTAGTGCAATAGGGTATAAATTTTAAGCAAAACAACCACAGAGTATTATCACCATAGAAATATGGAGTATACGACGCAATGACGGCAACGCGGCTTTGAATCCTACAAATTTTCAGGGACAGGCGGGGTTGTGATCGTTCTCCTGTTCTTTAACCTCCATGGTATATATACTAGATTATAGACTATAGATTAATATATTTATAATAC